AAACAAAAAAAAAAAAAATAATAATAAAAAACACCACAAAAACAAAGCTAAACAATCCTGGAGCAGTTTTGTGAGGACGTAACATTTTCGAGAGGAGCTTGGCAAGAATCGGTGGAGGACAACAATAACATTTTCACAGTCATGCGTGTCAGCGACACATGGATGACATCTGAGCGATTGATTTGACGCTTTGGCTGTTCGGCGATGACGAGGCGTCGCCTCTGATGGGGAAGCAATTCTTCCTTTTGACTTTTTTTTCCCCGCTTCCGTCAAATGAAACTACATCGGAGGATGAACGCACATACCCGGAGACGCTGGAACGGAAGCGGACACTGATCTGCCAACGCCTGGTCATCATTTCTAGAAAAAGAAAAAAAATATATTAATACGGCAAAACAATGAAATAAAATTGATTTGTTATGCCATGTTTACAATTTTTTTTTTTTTTTAAGCACAAAGAGGCACAATACTGCCAAGACCGGAGCCGATTGTCTGGAGCCTTTGTGCTCATAAACCAACCGCGGAAATGCATTTTTCACTTTTAAGTTCCATCGATGCCGTAATTAGTTGGAGATATGTGGCGACAATCGCTCATGTTTTGTGATAATTCTCACTGGCAGGACTGACTGGCGACCAATCTAAAGTGGCGACCCCAAGTCATGTGACACCCGTCCCAGCTCAATCCGTGATACGGAAAAGTGACCGGATGGATGATTGATAAAAAAAAAAAAATATATTAATACGGCAAAACAAGGAAATAAAATTGATTTGTTATGCCAGGTTTACAATTTTTTTTTTTTTTTAAGCACAAAGAGGCACAATACTGCCAAGACCGGAGCCGATTGTCTGGAGCCTTTGTGCTCATAAACCAACCGCGGAAATGCATTTTTCACTTTTAAGTTCCATCGATGCCGTAATTAGTTGGAGATATGTGGCGACAATCGCTCATGTTTTGTGATAATTCTCACTGGCAGGACTGACTGGCGACCAATCTAAAGTGGCGACCCCAAGTCATGTGACACCCGTCCCAGCTCAATCCGTGATACGGAAAAGTGACCGGATGGATGATTGATCCTTCGCTGGTCCGATTTCAGACTCTCGCATCCAAAACTAAGAAGTTCAAGAAGCCTTTTTGTGATGGGAGTCTTTTACGAACGAGCGGTTGGGGTTTCATTAAGGCACGGGTGTCAAAGTCAAGGCCCGGGGGCCAGATCCGGCCCCCCACGTCATTTTATGTGGCAGCAAATCATGTGTGTCAACTATCATGATTCTTGCTGAAATCTGTACCGAAATGTCAAATTGTCATGGGTAATAAATAACGTTGAGATTTTGCATCGGCCCGCGACAAAAAATGAGTTTGACACCCCTGCAGCATTAAGGGATCCTTTTGCCTTGTTTGGCTTCGCCGAAGCCTGGCCGGATGACAAAGTCGAGTCATGCCGGGAATTATTTGCGGCACTTTGGAATGGTTCTCAGGGGTTTGGAGGGAAAAAAAGTCGAAAGATCCTTCTGGAAGTGCCAATTGGAGAAAGAAGTGAATTTGACAAGCAGTCACCGGAAAAGAAAGCCTGGAGCTTTGCCTTCATTACGCAATAGCCGCCTTGGCATCCCTTTGCGTCAGCGGGTTCCAACAGCAGTCACTGCCGTGGCGCTGTTTCGGGAACGAACGTGACGCTTTGGAATCTCTTTGATTTCTTCAAGTGGCTGCAAATCACTCGCGTTTCACGCTATCTGACGCGCCTCAGAGGCTCGCCGAAGGGGGGAAAGGAGGGCGGACGCGGTTTTGCACAGGTGAAAATGCACATGGGGAAAATTGGCCCAGGGCGGCCCGTGGGCCAGTGGTTAGCACATCGGCCTCACAGCGCAGAAGTGCAGGGTTCAATTCCAGCTCCGGCTTTCCTGTGTAGAATTTGCATGTTCTCCACGTGCCTGCGTGGCTTTTTTCCGGGTATTCCGTTTCCTCCCACATTCCAAAAACATGCATGGCAGGTGAATGGAACACTCTAAATTGTCCCCAGGTGTGATTGTGGATGGTTGTTCGTCTCTGTGTGCCCTGCGATTGGCTGGCAACCAGTTCAGGGTGTCCCCCGCCTACCGCGCAAAGACAGCTGGGAGAGGCTCCAGCACGTCCCGCTACCTTTGTGAGGTTAAGCGGATCAGAAAAAGGATGGATGGATGAAAATAGCCCCTCGGCACATAATGACTGGGTAATAGATGATGACGCGGCGATAAATGCTCAACTCGCATCTGGACGACCCAAGGGGAGCACACTTTCATTATGGGCTTGGCATGGGATGCCTGGCAAGGTAACCTGTAGTTACACGGCCCTGCACGTAAAGGCTGGCATGATTCCCTTCCTTGAGGTCGTGGGGTGTGTAGGGGGGGTCGGAGGGGTGATTGAGTGCACAGGTGGCCCCTCACAAAAGACTTCCACTTTTGGTACACAAAACACCTGAGGGGATTCCATTCCAAATGATTGACGAACAACAACACAGTGTCTCTCTCTCGTGAAATAACCCACATGTGACCTAGCGAGCCGGCCTAAAAAGCCAAAATGCCACCGCGCAGCTTTTGCTGGCTGTAGTTCCGAGGTCACGAGGGCGAGTGCTTTCGGGTTCAGTCTCAAATCTTACGTTCAGTGAACAAGTCCTGGGACAACAAACATGTCGAGAGACCTATCATCTGCATACAAAAAAAAAAAAAAAAAAAAAAGCGCAGCCCGTCTCCTGCCCGGTCAGTCTTGTGGGTTTTCCCGATGCAGTGAAGTCAGACTTGCTTCTACTTTTAGATGCTATTCACAGCCACGGAGGCGCTAATGACCGGTGGCGCAGCATGCGGAATGTCTATCATTGAGGGAGGAATGAACCCTGGAAGGAAAAAAAAAAAAAGAACCCTGACGAGCATATGGGGAGTTTGGCTTGTAAGAAGAAAAAAAATAAAATAAGTGATGGCAAATCCTTCTAGTGGGTAATTTGGCTGACGTCAACCACAGACGGAAAGCATCTGCCTTTATAAATCTTTTTAGCCCAGAAAATTGCTTACAAACCAACAGGGCGTCTTTTGCATGATTGCTTGGAGTGTGCTGCGGACCAACAAAAACCAAGATGGAGGCTGGTGCAGGGAAAGTCCTGGACAGTCATTTTTATTAGCAAGGAGCCACAACACCTGCTGTTAAGAGTCACGGTGGATTTAGACCACAGATATCAAACTCAAGGCCCGGGGGCCAGATCCGGCCCGGCACCTCATTTTATGTGGCCCGCAAAAGCAAATCAAACATGTCAACTTTCATGACGCTAGCTAAAATCTGTACCGACATTTTTCAATTCTCATCTGTAATAAATAAGAAGGATATTGTAAAGCATTTTCTTGTCACCAAACCCATCATGGCAGTAACTGAAACAAAAGGGGAGTAAACTGTTTTTCTTGACTCCTTGATATGGTTTGAGTCATAACGGCCCCCCCAAGGGAAACGGACACTAAAATATGGCCCACGACAAAAATGAGTTTGACACCCCTGATTTAGACGTTCACCCCTGTGGCGCCACTAAAGACTTGAATAACGGTGGAACAATGAAATTGGGCCGGTGCTCAATAAAAAACAAAAAACAAAAAAAAAAACAAAAGCAAGATACTATAGTCGCAGCCAGGAGTTGAATGCTGCAATCATCGTAATTATTGAATTTGTGAAACACCGGCAGCAGGTCCTCTTCCTCTTTTGGTGGCAGGAAATGTGCTGTGAAGTTGTCCTCCTAGACTCTTATGACGCTCCGTCAAAACGACTCGTCATCTCCTTCATGACGCTTGACATCATTGCGGGCAAATTTTCTTTCTTATAAGGAGGTTTAATCCCAAATTCACACCTCACGAATTTTTTTTTTTTTCTTCCCTGCCGGACGTTTACGCTTTCGGGGAACAGGGCTGAGCGGACTCAGACAATGTCACTCAGCTTCCCCATTTATACGCGCGGCGATAAGATTGTCACAAGCGTGCAGGAAGCTCACGAAGCAGACGCGTCTGTTGGGACTTCAGGATGGGGAACGTAATGCGCGGCATGAGCGCCTGGAACAAACCTGACGGCATCGATAGCAGCAGTCTTGGGAAAGGTGAGAGCTCCCCTCTGAACTTTTTTCAAACATGCACTGGAACTTCAGAAGGATGTATGACATCACTGGCACAATGACTGCAAATGACGGCTTGTTTCCGCCCCCCCCTCCACGCTGCTGTGAAATGTACCCAGACAGAAGGTGGGCTTGAGTTGACCCGAGAAATTCCTTGCTTCTGATTTAGTGTCAGAGCCTGGACAGTGGCTGTGTTAACCCTTTCATGCACCTTGTAACCTGATAACGTGATAAGCTGTCCAATGTAGTGGACAAGGAGGGGGCCGGGGGGGAGGGTGAGGA